CCACTGCTGCTTCACGGAAGGCACAAGAACCACAGAGCGCTAGGGCTTAATTTCTCTGTTTCACTCAGCCTGGATAATGAGAAGAGGCTAAAAACACGTCACCATTAAAGACTCATTTTGTCTTGGAAAAAGTTTCCTGTCTACTGCATAGATGAGTTCGATTTGCATCTACAACGGGATTTAAATTTTACATAGCTGTACCCTGCTATCCCATGGTGTTAATGTATCTAAAGCGCCTGTGCCTGGTATGAGTATATAAGAAAGGCGTTTAGAGAAGTCAGGAGAGATTTAAGTGGTTGCCACTTATTCCAGCCAAAAGATGCAAGTCTGGGCTACCAGGGGGTTCCTGTATCTGCTTGGAATTATCATGTCATTCCTACAGATACTGATCTGATCCAGGTCAGCCTGCTTTTCTTGTTGGAGAAAGGAAAAATTAAGTTATTAACTTGCTCCATATTGTTCCTAAGCGGGAGGCTTTCTCCTGGGATTTGGGTAGTTAGATCTCAGATGTTTCTTCTGCCCAATTTTGAGCAAGGATTTTTGGTGTCCTGCGGGTTAGGTGGATATCCTAAATGCTGGATTCTTCGGTACAGTCAAAAAGATGTAAGCAGAAAGAAAAATTTTGGTTTGGGCTGATCTTTGGGGTAGGCCAGACAAGGTAGGAGTATTAAAGATGTAGAATGAATATGTGCTCTCTGAACAGCTGCGATGAACAGCCCCTAAACTGAGCATTCCCTCACCTGGCTGTCAGTACCAGATGGGTTAGGTGTCCAGGGATGCCAACTCAGGTAATTAGACTGAATGAGCTAGGAAGGACTTGTATGAGCAGCTCTACAGTGACTTGAAAGGATGGGAGGGAATGAACAACTGAGAGTAATGTTGGTTATGGGGACTTTTTTGGCAATATACCTGGGTCCAGGGGGGACAGTTGCTCACAACCTCTTAAAAAAACTCACCATGCTAAATTCTGCCACCTAAATAGGAAAGAGAGAATCTGATTTGGGAACTTGGTTAAGTCTAAGGAATGAGAGTTTCAGGAAGCCTCGTGGTATCAGGATTTGGTAATGTGAACACCTGCCAGCAGAAAATTAAGTATTTAGAGCTGGCATATTGCTTCCAGACGTAGGTCAGAATTCAAGAAGTGGCATATTTTAAAAACCAAAAACTCAGTAAATGACCAAGGGTGCTTAGCCTCTTGTTCATCGGTAATGCTGCAACAGGCACCACTTCCCAGTGCTGAAGGCTGAGACGCTTTCAGCTGTAAAATATACCAGGCCTTGGAGTAACTCAACTGCAGCATTTCTTTATTTAAAATTAATTAAGCTTGTAGTAAGTAGAAGGATGTCACCTCAAAGTATGACTATTACTAGAATGTTTAAATCAGAAGCTTTAAAAGCTCATATAGTCTTTTCCCAGCCTCATTGTATCTGGTTATTTAAAATACTGATGTTCCTGAGAGGCTCTTTTAATTACAAGATCTGAATTAGGTGCGTCAGTCAGAAGATAACTTGGTTTGGTTTGTTTATTGTCTAATATACCCTGCGGTTACCAGCTTGTTTTTAAATGAATCCAAAACCCAAACATCTTTAACTTGCTAAAAGGAAAGTCTTCTTGACAAACTGCCTGAATTATTTTCAGCTGGAAAGAGCCCAGTTAATTATAAAAATCCGTATTGCCCAGTGTTCAAATGTGATTAAGTTTCAGACACGCTCTTGAACTAAAATGGTGGATACAGTCAGAAAAAAAGAGCATTTGACATTTAAAACCTTAAAACTGTGGAGTTCTAAATTCAAGCATCATTTTATGTATGAACTTCAGGGTTTTGTTTTTCTTTTTTTTAAAAAAAAGATTACAATTTGATTATTAGGCCTTTTTACATCATGTTGCTTCAGGCTGACTTAGTTGATCAGCACAAGTCCTGTGGGTATCTGTGTACTCAGCAATTTCCAGCAGCTCAAAGGGATGAGGATGATTTGCAAGCTATAGTTTAATAAACCCTTAACCAAAGTGGAAACCTCTGCAGTGCAGCTTGTACTAGGTATCACCTGCTTTAGTCTTTCCTGAAATAGCAGCCGTCTGCCATTAATTCCAGTGTTGAAAGGAGAAGACTGGCACACCTTAATACAATTTTAAAAACAAAGATCCATGAACATTGTCAGATTCGTGCATAATGGAAAAACATTGTCTCCCACTCATTGTTTTTTCACCTAGTTCATGGTGCTGACAAGTTTTTCTAAGTCAAATTTAAGTTTTCGAGCACCATAAAGTAACTCCAGAAATAAAGCTGTTCACTGCAATACACCTGAAAAGGCATTTACACACAGCATTGTCTTGCCTGCAGCCAAGTGCCTTCTGAATGTATAAGCAAGAAACATGTCACGCCTGAGAATTTAAATGTTAGCTTTGTCTTCAAAGAGAAACCCTATAGTACCAGTTGCTACTTGCTTCATACCGATGAATGTCAAGCGTATTGCATGAGACAGGAGAGGGTGATGGTAACTGAACACGCTATGGGAAAACCAGTCTTGCTAATGACTGTTTTGTCCTGGGCAGTACCTGCCGCTGGCGTGCCGCGGGAGGGAAGGCCTGCGCGCTGAAGCAACTGAGCACCACTACCGCCGGTAGCTTAGCGGGAGCTCTGCGGTTGCTTAATGTTCTCAATCTCCTTGTTACTCCTAATTGCTCAGAGCTCAGTTCAGCTGCAAGAGCTGCCTTTTGTGAGGTCCTGCATTTACCTGTTCTGCTTTGGGTATTTTTTGTGGTGGTGTTTTCTTTTTTTAAAATATGTCAGCGAAGATGAACAAGAATGATTGAAAGGCTTGTCTAAGATTATACAGGAGTGACTGGCTGGGTAAGGCCCAAAATTCTCCTAGTTCCCAGACTTCAGTGTAACCACAAGACCGCAGTGCTTTAGTTAAACTTCATCCTCAACTGGAACTTGCCACAAAGAATCCCAAGGAAAGAATTTCCTTTTGAAGTCTCTTCTGAATGTTCTAACTTGTTTTGTCCTTTGTATTCAACTAGTCCAGGAAAAATAACTTACTTATAAAGTCTTGGTTCAACCATCTAAATAAATGTTATGTGCTCCTAGATTATTGTTTATTTTTTTAAAAAAAGTTGATAGCTTGAAGTTTGCCAGAAAGCAAGTGTTGTGCAGTCTGCTGCTGTGAAGGACATGGACATCAGTGAAGGAAGGTATCAATGAAGATCTTCCTCCTGTGAAGCAGAATGTGCACTGACTGCTAATAAAATGCATTCCATTTCTGGGCAGGAAGCCTTTTTTTGCTGGGTTCTTATAGTTCAAAGTGCTCCTCTTTAGCAATTGTTACGTCTTTTGCTGGTTTTTCTTTCTGCACAGATCTCGAGTGGAAAATGTGAAGAAAGCGTAAAGTTAAATGTGCCCCATACATATTGGGGGGGGGAATAATAACTTTAGAAAATGTTCCCCTCTTAAAGAGTTCTGTAGGATCCTGCATATATCCGGTGTCTTTGATCTGCCCTCTCCAATGAAAGCTGACTGACAGGACAGTTTTTGAAAAAAAAAAAAAAAAAAAAGTTTTTTTTAATAAAAGCAATTATCTGTTTAAATGAAATGTCAACAATTCCACAGCAATATGCCTGGAGTATCTCTTGCCTTCTCCTCTTATTTCAGAAGTAAGCCGTTCATCAAGAGGACTGACTCTCTCAGCGAGAATGTTATTTTGCATTTGTAAAGCTTTTCTTCATATAGAGGTAGTGTTACAGATTTGGTTGCAGTGAGGTGGTGTAAATCCCTCAGTCTGCTGTTGCCTGTGAGCCATGAGCACAGTCTTAACAGTCTTGCCCAGAAGGTGAATAACATGGTAGGCATATAAAAATTCTTTTAACTCATTTGTGTAAGGTGGCTAGCTCTAGCTCAGCCAAGAGCTATACCTAAATAACAGTGCCGCCCTAGCTGTACCTCAAATGCAGGAGCTCAGCCCCTGAGAGAGGGCTCTACATTTTTAATGCCAACCTGCACGTGTGCTTGTATGTTCCTCGCAGCTTTACCTGCCCCTGACGTAGCTGAGCCGTGTGCTGACTCCTGTACAACAGCCCGGGGGCTTCTGAGCTGGAGTTTGAGTTCATCGCTCAGGCCTCGTGTGCTACGGAACACAGAGCCTCCCGTGGCAGGTCTAATGTAACGGTTCAGATGGGATTCATGTCGTATATTTTTAGCCACAAGTTATTTTAAGAGGTGGTTCAATACTACTGGTTTTCGAAGGCGCATCAAGGTGACTGCAACTGAAGTTCATTTTAAGAAAGTTAGTCTATCGTAAGCCAAGCTGACTAGAATGCAAAACATGAAATGATGTATTGTTGAAGTTTAATTTTTTCCTAAGAACCTCAACCTATGACTTTATAAGTAAGTCACGTGACCTGCCCACCCTGAATTTGAAAATATAGCCTTGAAAACATGCTGCTTGAGATCCTTAACATAGAGGCCTTTCTAAAAAAAAAAAAACCAACACACACATGCTATAAAAATCAAAGGGATTATAAAGTTAGAACAGTAAAGGAGAAGCTATACTGGATACAATGTAACCTAGAAATACAATTTTAAAACTCTTTTTTTCCTTGAAAAAAGCTGGTGCAGAGAATACTGGGTTTATCCTGACTGTTTAATAATGGCTAAGAATAATCACTTATTTATAATAAATTACGTCTGCAGTATAAATGAACATATGAACCTTTTAAAAGAGACATTGTTGTTACTTTTAGAGTATCTAAAATGGATTTAAACTATTTCAAGATTCATTTAATCACTTGCAATTTATATTAAGAATCTTCTATACAGCAAGTTGAACAGAAAAAAGCAAACATTCTAACAGCCCCTCTTCCCTAGAGCAATTTTCATATAAGATAGTTTTAAATAGCTATTTTAGCGCATTTGCGCCTGCTCTCTCTCCCTTTTTCTCAAGGTAGCACAGCCAAAAGACAATGCAAGAACTGGCATTTGTTGACTGACTCTGTTTTCTTCTCCAGCTGGTAAAGATAAGGGGAAGACAGAGACTTGAGACAGAACGTCCCAAAATGGAAAATGTGAACTTGATGTTTACTTTGCCAAATCTCCAGGGACTTTCTTCTTTTCCTTGGTTATAGTTGATAAAAACCACTTCCCTCTGTGTCTGCATGTCACTCTGTGCTCAATGCCAAAAAGTTTTCAACTTCAGCTGTGGATGAATTTGTTTTGAAGCTTTCTATTTTGCTTCACTGAACACAGTGCAAACCAAGGCAAGAAACTTAAGTAAAATCCAAACAGGTGCTCCCATTAAGAATATTTATGAGCAGCATTTTGTATATTCCGTTTTCTACTGTCCTTATTCTGGGGAAGAGGAATCCTCATCTTCATCCTCTTCATCTTCATCATTGAATGAGCATGGAGTTTCTCCCCGTGATTCCGAGTAGCGGGATGTTGCGCTGCTGGACTGTTGACTGCTGGGGGCGAGAAACTGCCCAGTTGCTAAGGCCACTTCAGCATCCAAGCACAGCCCTGGATTCTCACTATCAAAACAACAGAAATGTCAAAGTTTAGAGGACTTGTCATGAAGTTTTAAGTTTTCTTTTTGTCCTCAGCTTTTCCTTTAGTTAAAGAAATGCTACTAACAAGGAAAAATCCCACAGCTTTATACGTAACACAGCTGACAGGTATGAAGACTGCTAAAATACTGGAAAGTTGCATTAAAAAGATTATTCTGTGGCTTTTTTCTCATAACTGGTAGAATTGCTCAAGCCAAGGAAAGCTTAATGAAAACCCCTTCAGTTTTGTCAATATACAGAAATGTTTCCAATATGAAATTAAGCTGTTAAATGCCATGAGGAAGAACCTGTGCCAGAATAATCCCTTCTTCCATTTTGTTAAGGTAAAAGTAACCTCGAAGCAAAGTATGGTTGTTCGGTGGGTTTTGGATTGGGTTTGTGGTGGTGGTTGATTTTTGTTTGGTTGTTTGGTTTTTAATTTAAAATTATGATTAGACTGTGTGGACTAAACTCCTTTCATGAGTGCTTAAGCAGTAGTGCAGTGAGACACCAACATTCTTTTGTGATGTTCTTCAGAAGCGCCATCAGGCTTTTCTCCACATGTCATTACGTATTTGTAGTCCATGCCCAGGCAGGAATTTAAGGTTAATCAGGAAAACTCTGTCCTTGTAATAAGGGCTTGGAATTGACACTATTCTTCTGAAACATAGATACAAATAGCTGGTATGTTCAGAGTTCAAAGCGTCTTGATTTGACCTTTCAAATCAACCCTCCCTTATCAAAGAAGACAGAATAAGAGTCTTTTTCACAATCAAAAATCAACCATAATGGAAAACATCTCATGTCCTGCATGTAAATGATACAAAATACTGAGGTTACCGAAAGTACCACAAGCATGTATCACTATCCTTGAATTAAAAAAAAAAAAAAAAAACACTTTATTTACCTTGATTTAGTATCAGAAGTGCCTCCTGCTACCTCTAAATGTGAAACTGCTTGTGCTGAACTTGACAGTAACCCTTGGTTTATCCATGAAAACCCTGCAGACATATCTAGAAGAAAGCATAATTGTATTTATGAGGAGTTACTTAATTTTTTTTCTTCCTTTTACAATCACAAACTTTGCAGTTAGGATTCCTTAGTTTAGAAGAGAAGGTACCAGTAGCTCAAGCTGATTTCATCCTGCAGCTGTGCCCTGTTTCAAGATGAACTATATCTGTACCCGCCAGTGTTTGCAGATGCACTCAAGCCTTGCCCCCCCTCACACTCAGAACTGTGGTTATTTCTATGCAGCTTCTCCCTCGGCCTGAAGAGAATTCACACTGCAGATGACCCCAGCTAGTGGCTGTATGCAGTCACAGGGACCTGAAACAGAGTTTGGGAGTCCTTCCTGGAAATTCACTGCAGTCACATGCCCCAACAGCCGTCAGTGCCTTTGCTGTTGCACTTGGTGAAGGTATAAATGGAACTGAACTTGTCAGGATTGGGCAAGCTGCAGTGAAGCCACCCAGGCAGTATGCGTGTCAGCCGTGTGTTCTGATGGCCCAGGGCAGTTTCACCTTGGTGGTCTCATAGCTGGCTGTAATGCAGCCACCTAATTCTTTCGGACACTGAACAGAGGCGGCAGTCAGCTGGGGACATGAACAGGTCTTGTGCCAAGAGTATGAAAGAAAGAGAGAGCCTGTTGTACCCTGCACGTCTGATGTGCAAGTAAGTCTCCTCCCTAGGGCCAGGAAATTTTAGGATTAAAATGGACTTGCAATAAGGCTGAATTCCTTGAGAGAATTTGTTAAAAGCCCTCTGAGGGATGTGAATGGGTTACTTACAACCCTCAGTATTGTTTTCAAATTCCCTACCAGTACTGCCTGTCTGTTGTTTCCAGTTACGCACATTCTGCCAAGGGAATGAGCAAAACAAGTCCATTGACCCAGTTACGCTGATGGGATTTTTTTTTGGGGGGGTGTGTGTGTGTGTATGTGTTTTTAATTTCTTAGGTAAGGTGTTTCTGTTGACCTACCCAAATTCCATCTCAACACAAATTTAAAATTATCAGGCCTGTCTAGTTCTTTTTCATAGTGCTTGCACGTGGTTCTAGATGGATGCATTGAACCAGGAATTACAGCCCTTACTGTTCTTTTCTGTGCCTAACAAACCTCTGTTTTGTACAGCACGATGGCAGTAAAGTGGGATTGTACTAGTCATTTTATCTAGAATTGGTCTCACAGTGCATAAGAGGAATAACCAAATGTGGTTGTTACATAGGCTTTGTCATTTATCCTTCTGGGTTCTTATCAAGCTGTGGTTCCTTGAGATTTGGCAGTGTACTGCCGAGCTCAGGAACTGATTTAACAGCCATGTGAATTGGCTCACCCATCCATTGGGATTCACAGGCTGCCATGTTCTGTGCTGCGGAGACTTGTTAGCAGCACGGTGGTTAAATTACCTGCTACAAAGCAAGGCGAGCAAGGCGGATGTTCCTGCCAGCAGAGTCTTTGGAACATGACAGGAAACATTAATAAGTGGCAGCTTTAGGGTGATCTGTGAGGATGGAATAGATGAGAATAGTTGAATATGGACAGAGCTGGGTGGTTTTCATTAAGACTGCCCTCAATGCAGGTTCGTTTTTACAGAGAACAGGTTCTGACAGTCTGCTCCCGTCTGTGCAGGAGGAGGCTGAACCATTTGGAATGTCTGCCTTGTATTTAGAGTAATAAAGTGGATTAGAGATGTATCACAGCATTGTTTCCTGGTCTTTTGGAGGGCTGTACCTGTGTGTACATGCTTAATATTTCAGAAGAATAACAAGTCTCTGCTAGTAATCTTGTGGTTTATTAACAGCCTGGGATAATGGCTAGTTAGCTTTTCTTTCTGAAGAGCGAGGTGAGGGAAAGCATGGCTTTTACACATCAGGCAGAAAGAAGGTTCATGGGTGCATATCTGTGCCTTGTACTTTCATTACCTTACATTTCTAATTTCTATTTTCCAGTGGGCTCTGAGGAGCCAGGGAGAAGAGGAAGTATAAAGAAGTGGCATAATCTAGAGGTCCTAAACCGCCAGTGCCTTAGGGGGATACACAGAAGTGGAATGGTGTTACCACAACTATAAGTGCCTCGGAATTTTTATTTCCTGCTTTTTTATCTGTAGTCTCCTTCCTAGGAGCGAGGACTGAACTGACAAAGGCAGGACTTGGTTTTGCATTAACAGCCTGCAGTATACCCATGGCGTAAAAGGCACAGAATGTTACTCTGGATAGGGTTGTACAGGAGTGTAGGCTTGTCTCAGTCAGTGGCGTATTTCTGTTCATCCAGCAATCTCACTCTTT